CTCCTGGATCCCCGGCGCGGCGTGCGGCTGAATTGGATGCCGAGGTGGCGAGGGAGCTCTGATCACTCTGATATGCTCCCTCGCAGGCTGTTTACTGATGACGTCATATTCCGGCTCCGGCGGCATCAGTAAACAGCCTGCGAGGGAGCAGATCAGGGAGGTCAGAGCTCCCTCGCCACCTCGGAATCCAATTCAGCCGCAATAAATAGTAGAGAAAAAGTACAGGTGAAACTGTGGAAAACATAGAATTTATGCCCACAGTCCACTAGTACATAAATAGCAATCCATAGTAGATAAAAATTAACTTTTAATAGATGATTTAAAAAAAATGTGGTAACACTGTCACAAGGTATCTGGCTAGCACAATCGCTGCATCCAAAACTGAATAGATTAAGCGATGAAAGAGAGAGAAAGAAAAATAAATAACATATAATAGTGATTAATTACTTATAGTCCAGATAAGAAAGGAAGGACAGGGTTAATCAACAATAAAGCCCAATGTCCCTGTATAGTATCACCACTCCCGTCTCCCAATCTTACTCAAAATAAATTTCTGTCTCTCTTTAAATAATCGCTATCTAACTCAGGCTGACATACGGTAGAAAAGACAAATCTAATCTAATTCAGCGTCTAAAATAAAATAAATGAATGAAGCAGAGGGGTGGCTGTTGGAATCTAGTGAATCGTTGTAAGGTCGTCCCTGTCTGCCTCCCACACCCTCTGCCGCACTGAACTCGACGCGCGTTTCGCCGAAAAACGGCTTTTCAAGGGGCAGTTCAGCCGCACGCCTCCCTGCAGCCCCACTGGACCACCAATGAGAGACCCACGCCAGCTCTCCAGGTAGGGAGGCTGGGTGGGAAATGTTAATTTAATTTAGATTATTAATTACTGTGTGTGTGTGTACATGTGAGTATGTGTGTCAGTGTGTGTGTGTGCATGTGAGTATGTGTGTCTGTCAGTGTGTGTGTGTGCATGTGAGTATGTCTGTCAGTGTGTGTGTGAGTATGTGTGTCTGTCAGTGTGTGTGTGTGCATGTGAGTACGTGTGTCTGTCAGTTTGTGTGTGTGCATGTGAGTATGTCTGTCAGTGTGTGTGTGAGTATGTGTGTCTGTCAGTGTGTGTGTGGGGTATGTGTCTGGCTCCAGTCAATGTGTATTGTGCATGTGAGTATGTGTCAGTTTGTGTGTGTGTGGTATGTCTGTCAGTGTGTGTGTGAGTGTCGTGTGTCTGTCGGTGTGTGTATGAGTATGTGTATGCAATCGGTGTGTGTGTGCATGTGAGTGTGTCTGTCGGTTTGTGTGTGTGCATGTGAGTATGTCTGTCAGTGTTGATGATATGTGTGTCTGTCGGTGTGTGCATGTGGTATGTGTGTCTGTCAGTGTGTGTGTGTGTGTGCATGTGGTATGTCTGTCAGTGTGTGTGTGAGTATGTGTCTGTCCAGTGTGTGTGTGAGTCATGTGTGTGTCGGTGTGTGCGTGTGTGTGTCTGTCCGGTTTGTGTGTGTGCATGTGTGTCTGTCGGTGTGTGTGTCGATATGTGTGTCTGTCGGTGTGTGCAGTATGTGTGTCGGTGTGTGTGTGCATGTGAGGTATGTGTGTCTGTCAGTGTGTGTGTGTGCATGTGGTATGTCTGTCAGTGTGTGATGGTGTGTGTCTGTCGGTGTGTGTGTGAGGTATGTGTGTCTGTCAGTGTGTGCATGTGAATGTGTGGGTGGTGTGTGTGTCTGTGGGTTTGTGTGTGTGTGTGGTTCTGTCGGTGTGTGTACGAGGTATGTGTGTGTATGTCGGTATGTGTGCATGTGTGTGCATGTAGTGCGATGTGTCTGTCAGTGTCTGTGGTTTGTGTGTGTGTGTGTCTGTCAGTGTGTGTGTGTGTGAGTGTCTGTCAGTGAATGAGTGTGTCAGATAAGTGAGTCTGGCTGTCAGAGATGTCTGTGTTTGTCACTGAGTGTGTGACTGTCAGTGTTTATACACCCCTGACTGTAGCGTGGCCAAGCGGAGTGTACCGTGGTACAGGAACTTCTGTTTCCTGTACCTGGCAGAACTTACAGGAAAAGCTCACTGTACCGGGATTCGCTCCGCTCAGCCACGCTACAAAAAAAGGTAGGAGGCACACCAGAAAGGGGAGGGGACCACTATGGGGGTGGGTGGCGCACCAAGGGACAGGGAGAGGAGGGGAGAGATATCCTAAGGTACAGGAAAAGGAGGGAGGGGGGGAGAGGAACACTAAGCGACAGCCAACAGATGGGGGAGGGGAGAGGAACACTAAGGGACAGGGAAAGGAGGCGGGAAGGGAAAGGAACAGTAAGGGTCAGAGAAGGGAGGGGACCATTAAGGGACGGGGAGAGGGGCCGGATGTGAAAGAAACACACAGTGGGGCTTGAGAAGGAAAGAGACACACACAAAGGAGCTGGAAAGAATAAAAGACACAAATGGGCTGGGAGAAAAGGAGTCACACAAAGGGGCTGGGAGGAGTAAGACACAAAATGTGGGAGGATGTAAGAGTCATACAAAGAGGAGAGATAGGAGACACACAAAGGCAAAAATAGGAGATAAAATACACTAAAGGAAGTCAGATATTTAAAAGACGGGATAAGAAACACAAAAGGGAGGTTAAGAGGCACATGGGTGAAGATGTTTTTGGGGGGGCGGAAAAATGCATCTTCGCCTATGTACCCAAAATTCTTTGCACCGGCCCTGGACTGACTTGTTTATTTACCTGGCCTCCTGGGCTAGGTTGGATATCTGGGGGAGTTGGGGTTTATCTGGGATATGGTACCGTCAGTATTTTATGATGGGGATTCAGGTTTTTTCATTATCTGGGATATTATACTGTCAGTATTTACGATGGGATTCATGTTTTCTCAGTACATTTCATTCGCTAATCAGTGTTTTTGACTCTGTTTATCTCGTTTCAGTTTAATGGTTTGGCTATAGTGATGTCCCGAACGGTTCGCCACGGATGGCGAACATATGCGCTGTTCGGTCCGCCCCTATGTCATCATTGAGTAAACTTTGACCCTGTACCTCACAGTCAGCACACACATTCCAGCCAATCAGCAGCAGACCCTCCCTCCCAGACCCTCCCACCTCCTTGGCAGCATCCATTTTACATTCATTGTGAAGCTGCATTCTTAGTGAGCTGTCCAGGAGGTGGGAGGGTCTGGGAGGGAGGGTCTGCTGCTGATTGGCTGGAATGTGTCTGCTGACTGTGAGGTACAGCGTCAAAGTTTACTCAATGA